TTATCATAGATGCAAAAAGACAGATAGGCTCAGTTTCAGTTTGGGTAAAGGTTGACCTTGTCAGTGAAGATACTGGCCTAGGACATAACTGCCCACCATAACTGCTTTTAGCTAAGGTTTAATTTCAGACCATCCTTTATGGTTATTTTAGGTCTCTGAGTCTGCTAAGCTGCCATGCAGGCCTTCCCTGAGCTTGTCAGGTCAGCCTGTGGCCCCTTTCGTCCACACTAGGAAGGCTAGGGGGCAGCCATAAGGTCAAGCTTAATTATGCTAAGAGGGCTCTACCCTCTAAGCTGGGACTTGTTTGTGGCTCTGCCACAGGTCAATCCGAGACTTAACTCTAGAGCCACTCCCTACATCGGTGCTTGTCCACCTTAGTTATTGTAGGTAAAACCAACAAGTCCGTGAAGAGAAATGAGCCGTTGATCTCAGCTGAGCAGCATTCAGCTGCGCGGAGTCTTAATCTCACACATGACATGCCTTCAACTCTCACCCACTTCATCTTAGCCTCGAGTGCTTTCCAAGGCACAGATATGTTCGACCACAGCCCCCACTTAGGAAGACGACAAGTGGGGGCAGAGGGAGTGGTCCGCTCTCCCAGGGGCCCGCTCTCAGATCCAAACCTAGACCTCCCTCGCCTCCCTCACAGCTGTTGGGCGTGAGCATGTCCCTCCCGCTTTAAAACAGGCGTCTAGTTGAGGCCTTTCTTTGGAGATGTGGTTCTGTTTAAACAAGCCGTGGGCAAACTTTGAAATGAATAAAACTATTGAAAAAAAAAGACCGTACCCTTTTATGTAATGATGTTTACTTTGAATTTATATTAGTTCACACAAACACTCCATTCATGCTTTTGTTCCGGCCCTCCGGTCCAGTTTAAGAACCCATTGTGGCCCTCGAGTCAAAAAGTTTGCCCACCCCTGGTTTAAACCAAAATATGCTCCCAATGATTGAATTCTGCTGTGGATTTCATGATGCAATACAATTGCTTCCAGCTGCCCACCAGCTTCAGGGGCTGGCCATCAATCGGCCTATTTCTCTTGATATTTGTGTACACAGAACAAATGTTTCGCTGTTTTTGAATTTTGAATTCCTTTCTCTGTCTCTCCCTTTCCCTTCTCTCCCTCCCCCTCTCTTTCTTTCACTAGGAGGAAAGGCAGCAGTAAATCTGTCTCATTAGCATGTCAAACAAATTCTGTGCTGTCCAATCTGGTTTCAATTGCCTGGATGAAAAAGAAATTGTTTCCCTGACAGCCCAGCTGTCCTTTGTTCATCAGTTGTTTCAGTTAGTAGGGACTTTAGTGCCTAATCAACCTGAAATGTGTACTTTGATTAAAATTCTATTATAAAATATTACAAAAGCTATATGTGTTTAAATTTTTTAAACATTTAATCACCTTTATTTTTTCTTTGTTTGTTGTTGTTAATCCTCACCTGAAGATATTTTCCCATTGATTTTTAGAGAGAGTGGAAGAGAGAGGGAAAGACAGAGAGAAACATTGATGTGAGAGAAACACATCAATTGGTTGCCTCCTGCAACCAAGGTACATGCCCTTGACCAGAATTGAACCTGGGACCTTTTGGTCCACAGGCTGATGCTCTATCCACTGAGCCAAATTGGCTGGGGCATGTTCAGATTTTTAAAAACTCAGATTTAGCCGAAACCGGTTTGGGCCCTCTCCTTTCAAAATTCCATGCCCCTAAGCCTCCCTGCACACCTCCAATCCCTTCCCCATCTGAGGTGGCAACAACTTTTAACTCATTGGTGAAAATTCTTTCACATCATGTACAAATAAACACGCAAATGGCATTTCCCCTTTTTCTTTTTTATGCTTAAGTGGACCTCCCTTTGTCAACTTTCCTTTGATGTTTCTGTCAACTTACCTTTTTGTCCCATTTCTGAGCAAATTCCTCAACTTAATCTACCATTTCCTAATATGGCCATCAGCCCTGCCTATTCTGTTCCTCGGTTTTCCTAACAAGTTTTCCTTTTTGATAATCACATTTTAATTTTTTATTGATTAATTTGCCCACATTACTTATTATTGCTAATCCCCCCTTAAAATGCAAGATCGATTTCGAGAGGAAAATCAGTTCACTATTCCACTTATTTATGCACTCACTGGTTGCTTCTTGTGTGTGCCCTGACCAGGGATTGAACCTGCAACCTTGGCCTACAGGAATGATGCGCTAACTGAGCTACTCACACTTTAAAGATCCAGTCTCACTGTCCTTACACCAACAGCTATTACTTTTCAAAAGGCCCTCAGAGCTTGTCAATTGATGCTAAACAGTGAAACCCGAGCTGTGCCACAATTTTTGCTTTTGATGTTATTAACATTCGTGGTAAACTTGCATGTGTAATTCAATAGCAGTTACCTTCTGCTGTATTAAAAGGCACCACAACTTAGTGGCTCAGTGATTCCATTTTGTCACAGTTCTGTCTGTTGGCCTGGCATTGCTTCTTGTCTGGGCTGGCGCGGCTGGGGCTGCATCGCCTGGGAGGCCTGGCTCCTGGGTCTGAGGCCTCAGCCAGGAGAGCAAGACCCACTCCCCTCCCAGTCTCCAGGAGGCCAGCCCAGGCGTGTTCACAGGGCCACTAAACTCCACCAACAGCAGGCTCCCATGCACACGCTTTCAGGACTCTGCTGTGTCCCATTGGCCAATGCAAGTCACGTGGCGAGGCCCAGCTTGAAAGGGGGAAGAAGTGACCTCACTTGAAGAGAACAGGAGTGGGCAAGTCACATTGCAAACAGGTGTGCATACAGGATGGGTGCATATTGTGGCTGTTTTTGCAATCTACCACACCTTTCGCTGATAAAAGCTTTTGGTTTTACTAATGTGGTTTCTCCAGGTTTTCAAGTCCATTTCATTGTAGTGGGTTAAGATTATATGTGCCTATCAGATCCCCGTACAGAAAAATGTTTACGTATTTCACATAAATGCACGCATATATTCAGCCTTCTTAAAACAGGACATTTTCCCACACTAGATATCTCTCGCCTTCCCATCTTTCCTCTCTCCATCCCTTCCTTCATCTGTCTCTCCCGCCTTCCTTCTTTCCGTATATATTGACATATATAATATATATGTTATATTTTTTATATGGATAAGCCATTTGTTCACAGTGATGAGCTACAGGTTCTTTTGCTGATTATAATGTTGCTGTGTTGGGGAACCGAAGATGGCGGCATAGGTTAACGCCGGAGATTGCACCTTAAACAACCAATTCAAATTAAACCTGAAAAAGGGAACGGACAACATCCAGAACCACAGGAGGGCTGGCTGAGTGGAAATTCTACAACTAGGAGTAAAGAGAATATCAT